TAAATCAGGAATTTTGAAGGGTTTACTACTTGAACTACCTAATGAAAAAAAAGGTAGGCAAGTGGGTAAAGAAAAATAATTTTATCAGCCTACAGATCACAAACCATATATTTTCTGATATGTTTTTTTTTTTTTATATAAATACAAGTCAATTATTTTACTTTTAATACTACGGAATATTAATATAATATTTTTCGAAAATATTGCATTTATTATACTAAGTATAAGTATCAATTATTATAATTAACACATATTTTTACAATATCTTAAAATAAATAAAAATGTTATTGCGTATAGTAAAATTCATAATAATGTAATAAACTTATGTAAAATTTTTTAATTCCTATGAATAATATTTTTAAATTATCATAAAATAATTAGCATCGTCATTTACGTATATCGTTTTAAATAAATAATTTTGTCCAAATTTGAATTTAAAATTTTATAAAAAATAATGATTTTTAAATACTTCTTAGATTTTAAGATTTCATCAGTATGAATTTATGAAGAAACGAAGAATATTAAATTAAATTTTCAAAACTTAGATAGAAAAAGGTATAAAATTTTTTATGAATTTCTAACAGCGATAGAGTTTGAACTTTTTTTTGCGATTTTGACTAATTCCGTTAAAATCTCAACTTGAAATTTTTATAAAAAAAAATATTGTAACTATAAATATTTGATATATTAAATTATTAAATTAATAAATTATGAAGAGCTTTATATTTCAATTATTTCTACACAGCAAACAATTTTTAATCAAAATGTATTGAAAAAAAATTTTTTATGCCAATAAATAGCTGAAAAAAAAACTATTAAATCAATTTTATCGAATAGATTTCTGTAAAAATTCGTGTTTTACTTAATTTTTTTTTTTGTTTTTCACAGTTATAAAAAAAATAACTGGAATTTTTTACTTTTGATCTCTCAACATACCAACTATATCCACTTTGCTACCAGAAACCATGCCCATTTTCGAAAATAGAATTTTTATTTCTGCAAAATGTGATGACAGATACATACATTATTGTAAAAGAATCTAAAATTACATTGTACCATTATTAAATTGTATAATACGACATTTAAATATGTATATATTTAAAAACATAGATATATTATAATATTCCAAACAAACTAAACTTAAGAACAGTAAAAAAAATTATACATAAACTCCATCGATAATATAAGGTAAATAAATTGATAATTTAAATAAAAAAATATTTAGTTAGGACAAAAATTAATTAGTACCAACATTATTGTGTTTTATTTAATTTCAAAATAAATATTTTTTGAGGTTTTAAGTTATAAAACTTGAAAAAACATAAGACCTAGAAACTTGATGAAAAATTTATCGATAAACGAGTCACACGTGTAAAAGAGTTAACAAAGTTGATGAAAATTTTCTATAAAATCAAAAATATCGAAAAGAGGCAACTATATTATAATTAATTGAATAATACATAGTTTACTACCACTACTCCAATGAAAAATGCATATCATAAAGTATCATATTAATCTAATTAATTGTAAAGGTACCTAACCTATTTTATTCTTAACTTATATAAATATTTTTATGTAATAAATTTAATAATATTTTAACTTTGATAAATGATTAGGTTTTTGAGTCATATTCGATTCTAAGCATGGTGACAAATGTAACAATTACTTAAACCACAAAATATATATATTTTTATATTTTTTTGTCTGATCCAAGAAGATAATTTGTATAGTAGAAAATGTTTAATATTGACGGTGATATTTGTCTTCAAATTTAAACTAATCAATATTAAGAGAAGTCAAAAGTTAAAACTTACAATATCTACTTTCAAAATAATAGATACAACCAAAAAAATGTAGTGGAAAAAAATATATACGCGATACTAGGAAATAAAATATTAATAGGAATCTTCTAATTTCTATTCAAATCGATTTTGTTATAGTTAAAAAATGAATAATTGTTGACTTAAAATCCTTTACAAAATATTTATAGTAGCATTTTCTAATCATAGTAAAATATTTCAGCTCTAATTAAGCTTTTCATAAACATTTAAAATTTTTACAGTACAAGGTTTTTCAAAACTTATAAATTATTATTATGGTAATTAAAAAAAAAATATTAAAAATAATAAATACATATATACTATGTTATATCTTTAGAAATAGAAATTGACACAGTATTTAAATTTAGAATAGATTTTGTATGCAATAATTTATCATAGAATTAAAATTTAACTCATTCATTACAATGACCTACTCGATTATTATGATTATATATACGTTATTTTTTTTAAATCGGTGTATTATATTTTTACAAGAAGATAAAATAACCCAAACTATTATTGTAGACTATACATTAAAGAGTATCCGTTGATTTAAAACCATGTTAATGTTATTTAATAATGAGGTATACTTTAAACCTATATCATGTATACGGCCGAGTGATCATAGTGTTTTATTTTTATACCTATACTATTGCAAATACTTATTTCCCCTTCAAATTCAAATTTTGAGGTTTAAATATAATTTGAGAAATATTAATCTGCATGTTTAAATAGTAATAATACTGTGTAATTAACATTTTTAAGAAATTCATTGTCAGTTATAGATATTACTAATTCGTAAGCCAATAATTTTCAATTTAAGATCATAGTTCAACAGTTTGTTTTTATTCTCACGACCGAGAATAAATTTCTTACCTAATTACATTTATACAATAAAATAACTTTAATTCTATATAATATTTTAATTTCATATTAAAATTAAGTCTTAAAGTATTTTACGGATTTGCGTAATGATAACCTAAATCTAAAAATCTAAATATAACTGAATAGAACCAATACTTCCTAATTTATAATTAACAATTAATTATAGTAAATTAAAATAGATTCGATATACTGTTTTTACCCATTCATATTTGAATAGATTGAAAATGAAATAATGAATATAAACCAACCGTTTAAAAATTATCAATTGAAATAATCGTACCCAGAAAAAAATTTTTAGATACCGACGTGTCAAACAAATTATCATTCACTTACTTATTATAAATATCAAAATTAATTGATAAATGAATTATCAACCTTGGAGGTAAAATTAAGTATTATCTATCATTGATTATATTTTTTTCACAATCGTATTTTAAAGCGTTATATACATGTTTGAAATAGGCTTTGATTGCACACAAATTTACATCCTACTTTAAAATTTACATTATAAACCCGTAAATTGTGATAACACTTACTGGAAAAGTAAGTTATCAGAACCAACATTTTTAATAAAATATTTGAGAATTAAAAAAAAAATTAAGTTATAGTTTTTAATTTTTAATAGGGTATTTAAAATTGTATTCATTTTATTAACATTAAGCATATCCAATTTAAATTATAAACGAATGTTCAACTAAATTTATATCGTTTCGTATAAAAGTTTTAAATATTTGTTACACAACTATAAATTACTGTTAAATATAATATTACACATTAAGATTTAGATTTAAGATAGTTATCGTTGGCGCTATCAAAATTATATGCTTATCAAAATGATTATTTCATTTCTAAATTCCAAGAAAAATATTTTTTAACAACCAATCACGTACATATATCTCAATTAAAACATTAGCAGACTGTTAAGATAACCCAAAAAGACAAATCATAATCAATAAATATAGTATACAATTTAAATTAGTATCTATCAGTTAAATGTTATTCAAATTAACAAAACTTGAATTGAATAATATAGATAGGTAGTAAAAAATTACTTATACAAGATAAACGAGTATTTAAAATAATCTATGCTCAGCATATTTGACTATAGTTTCATTATTCCCTGTTCAATTTGTAAAGCGTATAATAAATATTTGTATTGAAGGGTGAAATTACAATTAAATATATTATTTAAATTATATATTATATTGATAAAATAATATGTTGTAGTAACGATCAGTAAATTAGTAAAATTAATTATCATATGATCAATGAAAATATTACATTTCATAAGTTATATTCATAGAGTTCTAAAAAATATCAAAATATATCAAATATAAACGCTTAAAAATATTTATCTAAAAAAATTTAATTACTTTTATTCAAAATAATTGTTTTTTTTTTTTATTACATAAATCGAGTTTTAAATATCAATTTTAGGGAGACAAAAGTAAAGTATTACATTAAACTGAAAACCTTTGAGAAAATTATGAACAAGACCACTCAAATCACGTACTACACATTATCTAATCAAACGGTACCATTTAGGTCAGTCTCTGACAAAGGTTTGTATTTAATTCTACGTAAAAGTGCAGATTGTAATAAATAAATATATAAAAAAAATAATTAAGTAAAGAACTAGCAGATGCATAAATTAAAAAAATAACTCTAATACTAATTTAAAAAACCGTCACATGAAACGACCACTTCAGACACAGAATAATAATTAATGACCTTTTCTCAATATAATTTAATTCACTAATAGTTCGACGGTTTATAAATATTTAAACAAAAAATGATTGACAAGAATAATAAACGCAAAATTCACATTTCATGACGATAACTTTCATATTATTATAAAACCAAAAATATTATATACTCGACCGCCCTCAACTTAGATATGTTAAATTTCATTAAAAATAATTCTAATTTAATAAATACATAGTATGTGAAAGGTACACATAATAGATTCATATGTAAAATAAAATATCTACTTGCATACACGTATAGTTTACTGGAACATGTATAATTTGCCGTTTGCCCAAAATTTTTAAAAACAAAGTAACAATTTTTAAAGATTCATACAAATGAAAAGTAAAAACCTACGAAAAAATTGAGCAACAGTAAAGTTTAATAAGTATAATACATCTACAAAATTTTACATTTTTGAGCAGTGTTAATTCCTAAGTTTATGATTAATTATAATTTTAACATTTACATATTAAAATAAAGTTTATAACCACGGCAAACTATTATTATTAAGCACAATCGGAGCAAAAAATATATTTTTTTATTTACCTGTGAGAGTTTTCCCTCGCATTGCTACTATGTTTTTCCATATTAAAGAAGCACATCTGCAGTTCACAGTCAGACAAATTACACCTAGAGAGTTTTGGTGACACCAACGGGGAAACGATTTTCTCATCCATCGTAAGTTTGGATTTTAGAGACATCGTCGTGCAGTTAAAAAAATTAAAATTCTTTTTTTAACGTGACTCACCACGGTGGTATTTTAAAACAATAGAAAAGTAAAACGTCAAAATAACTCGTACAGAATTTTATATCCTTCAGCGTAAAATAATATATATATAAAAAATTTAAAATTAAAGTTTTTTAAAAAAAATTACCTAATTATACATAAATGACACTATAAATAACTATCGCATTCACTCGATATTTTATTTTTATACGAATTATATGGGCAGTGATCAACACTAAGACAAATGAAACTCTGAATGTACCGCCATACGAAAACAAACACGCTATGATACTGCAGTAGGTAGTACAAAGTGTAAATTAACACGTCTAGCAATAACACTGATTAATGGTAGGTTAGTGAATGGTTTTGAAATGACGACCGGTTTCGTCCACACTGTTTGTTTACGTTTAAGAATTCTCGACATTGTATTGCGTTAACGCGCGAATTAATAGTGACACGATATTATGACGTACTGATAAACCGAAACGGTGGCCCGAATTTAATGATGAACGTATCAAACAACAGCCGCCTACAATTATTATTTGGTACAACAATTATTAGTTGTAACCTACGACTAGAATAGTTTGATTAAATATGTATATATATTATCACTGGTCTGGCTTCTCGTGTAATAGCCGGTATTAGTAGTGGTAGTGTTCTAGCACTACAGCGGCGAACTCTGAACCGCGTTTACAGATAGATCACTAACAGATAGAAAAAATGTTTTTTTCCTCCTTAGCCGCCTTGTACTCCTCATTCTCCGCCATCATATTTTCGCCTTCGATCAGCAGCGGCGCACAAATAGTAATAATTATTTGAATTATTATCATATTCTCGGAGAAAATAGACAATTTAACGAATTAAACCGACAACAGTCGACAGTGTAGGGGGAAATGATAACCGAATGCGGTACACCATTGCCTACAATTTTTTTTCCACAAGGCAATGGGAACTTTTAAAGTCACTCAGTAACACAATATACGACGTACGAAATATATAACATATTTAAAGTGATATCATATTTTATGTATATAGTCAAACTACAGTAAAAATAAAACGATTTTTCTATACGTTTTTATTTTTATCCAATCATACATATTATCATAAAACTAACTCGTACTTCAATTTATTTACTACAACTCGTGAGTAATATAACTGCCAGCTATAATTCAAAAACAATTAATTATGAATTGTCAAAATGTACAACTTTGCACTCAATCAAATGTTACAACTGTATGAGTATAGCTAAAATAATGATGGATTTTGTTTTTCAATAAATAGTAATAAAATGATAAGTAAGTTATTAGTTAATATTATTTTAATGCATTTTAATTGAATATCGAAATCAAATTAGTAAATACATTATATATTAAATTCTGAGCAGAACGATGAATGTATCTATTGATTTTTACAAAGATGTTTTTTTATGTCTGTGTACACGATAAATAATCGAAAAAAGCTTCAATTTTAAACTTTAACGAAAGTTATGAACAGCAATTTAGATCTAGTTTATACTTTAGAAAGGTTAAAATTTACCAGTGCTTTTTTATAATTTGAAAAATAATAAACCAAAAACTAAGAAAAAACAGGAATTTTTATGTAAACCTAATTATTTTATAAGTTTATAACCATGATTACCTATTACATTTTAAATATAATATTATTTATACGGAATGAAATTTTAAAAATATATAAATTAATTTTAAAATATTAGCTACCTATCTGAACTTATTCATACTATTTTACGGCAAGGTGACATTGATTAAAAAGTTAATAACCAATATTATAATAAAAAAAAAAATTAAATATATACATTTTATTTTAACTACATCTAAAAGACATAATATCACGAAATATAATTAGTGATATAGGGTGACAGACCGTTTCCACTTGTTTTTCATATACAATAAAATATCATTGAATTCAACTTAACACACTCATAATTGTGAACCACCCGACACCTAATGTACAACAGAGCAGTGTACCCATTTGCCTACCATTCTATAATATTAATTTCTAAATTATACTCAAGGTTACGTATTTGATTGAAATTAAATTTTTAATCTAGTCTAATTCTACATAAGTATAAAACAATTCATTAAGTCCATCATTATCGTTATTTATTAAACATTTACATTTAAATACGGAGTTATGAATGATTACTGTAAGTATGTAAATATATCTCAAAGTTTAAGTACCTAAGAGAACAGTAATTCAAAAGAAGAAAACATGCTGTTTTTATTATTATCTTTAATATCTACGTAAAAACAATCTTATGTTTAAACTGACTGAATAAAAATTTTTATTTGAAATTGTGAAAATCTAATAACAAAACCTGTAGGTAACAACTAGTTTATCAAGTTGTAAAATTAACGTGCGGTAAGACGCAAGTTATGTAGGTATGTACTTGTAATTTATTTTATGTGAAAGTAATACAAATAAATTAATATTTAATTATCTAAACTTAAAATGCATTTTATTTATGAATTTTTATATCGTAATGAATGCAATATAATTTTTAAACGTTAGGTACGTATAAATGTATTTATAATATATTCATTTTCCAAGGTTTTAAAATATTAAAATTAAGTTTCAACATTAATAATCCTATAGATATATAACAAATATACAGTAGACTTTCAATATCACAATTCATACAAATTTTTAACATGTAATTACTTAATAATGATATTGTTTTATTGTATAAAAGATATTAATAATAGGTATATAATACGTTTTACTCAAAGTGTAGTTACTCGTATTAGTTGTATCACCATTTTTGCTATTAGATATTCATAATGACGATTTCTAGCACACATCAATACATAAACTTTATTTTAAATTACTCAACTAATAAAATAGTACAGACAATAGCTTGTTGTTGTTTCAATAATAATTATACGCACGTTATTACCAAGTGGCTAATATATAATAATATGAGTAATATGACATACATAGATATATTTACCAACCATACATCGATATGGTAATTCAATTGATTTAATATTTTAATAATTTTTTTGTACCATTAATATTTAAAGACGGTGTTTAAGTAATTGAATTCTATTTTTTTTTTAATATGATAATTAAATGGATATTATTATACTATATATATTATATTTGTTTAAACTAGACGTATATTGAGATTTATTTTTGATAATCCGAAATGTTTAACCCTTAATAGCATAGCAATAATTGTATTAACTATTATTATTTATTACTATTACTAAGTCAGTCAAAAAAGTGATGCGTATTAGTACAAGTACAGTATAATATTAAATATTCTATAAAATCTCCTAAGAAAATGTTATCTATAGAATTTAAGGTTACTTACGTAACCATCCATAGCTGTTTTTTTAGATATATCATATCACAATATAATATGTAATTTTGTGTATTATGACTTGACATTTTAATGCAAGATTACTTATTTCACGATTAAGCTGCTTATATTTAAAGTAGTTGAATTTAATTAATGTTTTATTTTAGTACTAGTTTTTTAAACTAATATTGAACACAACTAATATTTATAACTTTAAAATAATGAAAATATTGTATTCAAATTCTAAATCGAATTTAAAGGCTCATATATTTTCAATATTTTTTAAAACGAGTATAATAAAAACCATTAATTTTAAAATTATTATTTGCCAACTCTAAATAATCTTTTGAAAGCATAATATGTATATATGGTCTATAATTAGAATTACTGATAATTTTTTTATTATATACTAATTTTATCCTCCAAAAATCGAATAATTTTTGAATAATACATTATTTACTTAGAGACTATCATTTCGCAGTATAGTTCTTCTTTTATTTTAATTAATGCACTTAAAAACAAGTTTAAACGTTAACACCTATGCACATAATAATTATTGTGAGATATTATTAGTCATATTCAATTAAAAATAGAAAATCAAATGAATGTGTCACGTCTAAATTTAAATTTCGTAATATATTATTTATTTGGAATTTGGAAATAACTGGTGAAAAAATACAATTTGCTACGATATTAAACACTGATAAATTAGTGATAATTATAATATTGGGGGATACTCCACATACAGTATAGACTTTTTACAGTGAATTCTAAATAGTTATGCTATAGGTTAAGTTTTGTAATATTTATATGAATAAAAATAACTACGAAGATACACAAACAACTTTAAAATGTTCAGATTAAATAATTATTATATTTAAGAAAACTAAACAGTCAATAATTATTATTAGTATAAATTAATACAATTAATCTACTTTAAAGTAAGCAAGTATAAAAAATACCTACCTACACGAAATAGCACATATAAATAATTAGTAATTACTATAACCTAACTTAAAAATATATTAAGAATTTCAAAAAATATTTAAATTTATGGATATTATTGATTTTATACAAATAGAAAATAGAAAATTACTCTATTGAGTATTATCTACTTTCAAGAGCAAAAACAATATGTTTTAAGAAATTTTAAAATAGATAATTTTTGAAGGTTGAAACATAAATTTACAAGACTAGGCATTATGCCAGTCTCATATTATGCACCTAATATACTTAATTAAATTTAAAATAATTATAAATATTCTCTTATTACTGAATTGAGCGTTTTCAATTAATTTTTTTAATTTAAGTTAATCTACATTCATAGAATTAAGTTGTACATACTTATTACTAGAAATAATAAACCTTAATACAATCTTTAAGTGTCTACTTAAGAATAAAATTTAAATACATATTGATTAACTAAGCATTAGTAATCTATCCACAAACATTATGATAACATAGAGAAAATTTAAGTACAATAGTACATGCAAAAGCTTAATTATTTGTAAAAATATTAAAATGTATCAATTGATTTAATTTTAATTTTAACTTATTGAATGCTCATATATCAAACATCCAACTCTAAACTTTATTGTAAAATGAGATATCTCTAACAAAGTAACACAAGTGTTTATCTAAATATACATAAATATATTTAACCACGTAGCCACGTATAGGTCGTCACTTATCATACTCATATTGTTTTTACAACCTTAACTTTCAAGGCAATGGAAATTCAAAACATATTTCTGCAGCAATATTAAATCACTATTTATTATAAGGTTGTTAACCAGAAAATACAATACAAATTTTAAATTATATCATATATTCATATACGATTTTAACTTACTAATATATTTTCAACTATTATAAACACAAGTGCACAATATATATTTAGAAAGTCATTTATAAGCCCCCAAGCCACCACAACAATTACCTTTAGACTTTAATAATAGTAAATATTAGTTTATCAAGTTGTTGTCAATATTTTATTAATTTCAATAATCTACAATTTACCATGGATGCATTAAAAAATTATTTACTATAATAGGTAAGGTATTTAATTAAAATTTTATGAGTCAGTGTATTACAATTCAGAACATATAAATTATAAAAAAAATAATAATTAATTATAACACATAGATTATATAGTAAACTATACAACAAATACATCATAACAAGGAAAACATTAATGGTTAAGTATGAATCACATATATCACAGTAATTAGATACATACCACAAAAAAGAACTGATTAAGTACTAAGAC